AATTTGAGGGTCTCGGTGCAATTTATGGGACCTTTGAAGCCTCTACAACTCCGTGGAATTCGCCCGCCTTAGGGTGGTAAGTCGACAGGGAAAGTTTTGGGGCGGCCTTTATTATACACTATCTGGGCCGTATTTCAGCCCGACAGCGTCCCAAGTGCTTTTCTTGGGGGTCATAAGTTCATCTTAGGAAAAAATTCAGAAACAATTTTATCATGAACTGTGCCTTTAATAGCTGGACATCAGTCAAATGTCTCTCAGTCACCATTCGATTTAAGTTGATTTGATTAGAGTATTGTGTTGTTGATCTGCTACACTTATTAGAGTTGATAATAATTTACAGTGTTGCTGAGCTAATTTTGGCAATAAACACAAGGTCACGCAGGCGGCTGTAAAGGAGACGTTGAAAGATGACTAGATCTTCCACCGCATACAATTCTTCATACCGCCATTTACTCAATGCCTTAAAATTACTGGTAGAAGCGTTAAGCAGTAAATAGGCTGCAATATGAGCGGCAGTTACAGAGAGTTCTTCTTTTGACGTAGATGCCTAATCAGATACTTTCTTTTTATCCTAAAATATACGCTACTACTCAAACGGAATATATCCAGAAGATAGGCCGCACTCGCAAAATCGCTCATAGATGCTCTATAGGATGAATAGATAATCCTCCACAGGTTTCTCTTCAAATGAAACACTGGGCTGTTTACCTTGGGCCTGCGATGGATGAGCCGTAAATAACTATGAGGTCGAGTAATCTTTAAGATCATCTCTAACTGATCACAATCTGAGAAGGAATATGAGGATCAGGAGTGGGAGGAGCAAATGAAACGGTAGGTCTTCGTCCTCAGTGTAGCAATCATCTCTTCGCTATGCTACTGTTGCTGTTCGTAGCAGCATTATGGGTGTCTGCCGCCGGGGTCAGTTACAGAATTTCTATTGAAATTATCGACAGTATCTTATCTTCTCGTTATGCTATTAAGGAACACTTACTTAGGGTTTTGAACGCCTGTTGTAAAGTAAATGTTCGAAAGTAAGTGTGAAATTAAGGCGAAAAAGTGTTCCTGATCGAATTTTCTGTATAACAAACTTCAGTGAAATTATCTATAAAGATTTTCAACGATTTTCTTTACGTAGTGTGACGATTCGAATCACAATCAAATAATGCCATTAATTTTAACAAATAATTAGATTAGATTTTAATTAACATTTAGATTTTAGATTTTAACAATTAGATTTAGATTAATAGGCTACTTGCGTATGTTTTCAGCAGAGCTTCTACGCAGAATTACTGCGAGAGAATTCACCTTTCGCTGATGCGCCAAGTGTCGATCGCTACCTCTCGAATTTGGCAAAACTGAATGAGTTGCAAAGTCGAATTGTAGGCGTCCGAGTAAGTCCTTTAGAATCTCTTCAGATCAAGTTGCCAGTCGGCTGTAGGACTTCAACCGTCTTTTTCCGAAACCGTTGAGGTTGCTCTGGCAAACTGTTGTCGTGGTGAAAGATAAATGACAGGAAGAAAAGCGTCTCCAATTGAACTTTTCAATTCCTTACTGATGTGATTTTTGTCCGGGACAACTCAGTTATCATTCGAAAATAGGAGCACTTTCGAAGTTTTAAGACTTTTTTGGTCTTTTTGTCCACTTTAAGACAATCGAATGATCACGTATCTTTGGTGGACCTCGGTGAAGCGTTCAACCAAAATGTTTTCATTTTAGCCCACCTCCCGAGACGAAATGCCATTTGAGGACAAACCAGCAAAGCCAGACCAATTACCATACATGTTCGAGGGCGATATCCTTTTAACAGACGATCAGCTAGAAACTATCATACGGTATGATACCACCAGGACTTAGGAACTATGTCAGTTACTATTAAATACTATGTATATCTTCAGCAACACCGAGGATCAGCTGTGGAACAAGGGTGTAAAGCCAAGAGCTCGCCGTTCGATGACATCAAATCTCTACGCTCGTTGGCCATCTACGCCTATACCGTACTACATCAATACGGGATCAGGAGGTCATTAAATTCATATCTATTTCGTGATTCCAACTGAACCTCATTGAATCTAAACTCTATTTTGAAGTGAGCGAATCTGCTGTTCTCGCTGGTATTGCACGGTGGGAGGCTGACACTTGCATCAGATTCACACGACAGTACAGTCTTCCTAGTCGGAATGGGATCGAATTCTTTCTTGGAAGCGGGTAGGTCTTTCTTATATCTCTACAAATCATCTGACTGGCGTTCAAGGTTGGATCTTGGACATTCGGTGTACTGAACATGGGGTATGATGAATATGGGAACCAACACTTCGCCCTCATCAGGCATCACTAATTGAAAAGCACTCCAGTTACCATAACGGCATTTCAGCGTTTCATCCCACAGTCCCCACTCCCTGCAAACGCCCAGCTCTTTTGTGGCTGCATAAAGGCTACCCGGTCATGTCCCTTCCAGCTAACAATAGCTTGGGGTCCTTGGTTCAACATAGAAGTCTACTTCTGAAGAAGTTCCGAGCTCAACCGCTGCTGGCCATTTGTTTGACCAAAATGGTAATGTCCGTGAACGAACAAAACGAATTCGACCTTCAGCGCCTCAAGCTCAAAGAGCGGGCAACAGCTTCACAGTGAAGTCTCTCAAAAGGCCTGACAGATACTACACAAAAACTCTCTATTCAGACCTGCTATTTTTACAACTCTCTTTTGCATCGAAGAAGGTGACCAAATGTAATCTATTCTCATGAATCATGACATGCCGTGGTGGTAGGTAATCCGGATCAATGGATTATCGTAATAATTCAGATGGGCTAGATGAGAAAGGATTCTTTCAAAGCCTATCCAGTTTCTGTTGCATTCATTTTGATAATATCACGGATAACATTTAGCTGTTACTCGATGATTGGCCGTGTCGGCTCGTCATCGCAGCAGGTCTCCATCGGATATGGGTGCACTTCACTCGGCACTGTGACCCACGAAATCGGTAAGAGCTATGATTTGTAATGTCAAGGCTATTGAGAGGAAAACTTAGAAGGAGCAGTTCCAAAGCACTTTCACCGTTGCAGGCCATGCTCTCGGCTTTTACCACGAGCAAGCACGTTACGACCGAGACTCCTATGTGACCATTGCCGCTGAGAATATTCAAAACGGCTATCTGAGTCAGTTCACCAAGCAAGCTAAGTAGGTTTTACATGGTACCTACACGGTGCCCTGTTCCCGACTGTATAACCCATATTGCAATCTGCAGATCAAGTATGCAGGACTACGGTGTCGGTTATGACTTCGGATCTGTAATGCATTATGATCAGACTGTAAGTATGGCGCTTCAGCTTCATTTAGCTCATTTGAAAGCACCTTATAGTAATTCCCTCTTCCTAATTGACTTCTATAAATACTTGCATTTCAGAGTTTCTCTCAGAATGGAGGCCACACTATTAAGACGATTGACACAAACTATCAGCAAACTATTGGGCAACGAGAAGGGCCTTCTTTTATGGATGTGAAACGTATCAACATGGCCTATTGCAGCAGTAAGTGCTTTTTTGAATGTAGAGACGTTTTGAACAATCTCCATTTTTCCGGGAAACACGATTTTTTTGGTCGCAGACTTTATAAGCGCTTGAAAATTAATCTGGGAACTGCGAAACTTCAATTATCACTCAAGATTGATGTACATGTTAATCAAAAGATCCTTCACATTCCTCTTTCTTCATACCATTCTGAGCAGTAATTGGCAACAATCAACCAACAAAAATCATGAACCTGTAGGAGAAAATGAGGACCTGCCCCTCTCCTNTACTACTCAAACGGAATATATCCAGAAGATAGGCCGCATTCGCAAAATCGCTCATAGATGCTGTATAGGATGAATAGATAATCCTCCACAGGTTTCTCTTC